GGGAAAACATTTTTTTTTCATACAAAAATCCCATTCAACCCCCGTGTCACGTACAAGCAGCCCTGTCGTTCGCCCAGGCCGATTAAAGGTCCAGGGTTCAATCGTTCGCATTGGTATCAGATCATATCAATGTTCGCTCAGTGTTCACCTAGCACGTTCACCCGGTGCATACCCCGTACAGGTGGAGGCTCTTATGCAAGGGGTGTTAGCATAATGTCCCAGGACGCAGCCAACCCTTGGTACTTTGTGTGCAAATTACAGTCGAGACGAGACGAGACGCAGAAGAGAAGCGGAGCAACGGTAGAGCCCAAGAGTGCAGAGGCTATCACACTGTGGGAAACTATACGTATACATGTACAGCACAAGTAACAACCCTCTTGGAGACACTTGGATAAAACTGAGTAAAACTCCGAGAGACACAGAGGAAGACAGTCGGGAATATACAGTAAGACCTGAAAGCTGGATTAGACCGGAGTAGACTGTACCAGGAATGACTGAAGCATTTAGGTTAAAACCAAGGAAAAGGATATGTAGGAAATATGTCGTGGGGTGGTGGTTAAGGGATGAAGAAGGTGGAGGAGGAAGGGGGAGGGATGCCTGGGAAGGGTGAACCGTAGATTAGAGCTACGTAGAGCGCGGGGACCCAACCCTCGAATTAAGTCGGTACCTATCTACGTAGGTAGGTCGGAGTAGAAGAGAGAGAGAGAGAGAGAGAGAGAGAGAGAGAGAGAGAGAGAGAGAGAATAAGGGGGTGAAAAAGGGTAGGGGTAGTTTCGCCATGCGGAATCCTCCTACCAACAGGGAAAGGATTCTTATTATTGCTCTTAAGGGATTACACCCTTACGGTTTGCGGCGAGCCTTGGCTTCGCCTCCTGTGTAATAACAGGGCTCTGCGTGCTGTTGCGTGGAACTGGTTCCTGGTTCTCTCTGGTTTTGCCCACCTTATTACGGCATCTCACCTACCTACTTGCCGCGTAACACCGTAGGATCTTCACCATCATCTGCCGTACTGGCTATGGGCGTAGGATGCTTGTGGATTCGCCTTTAGCACGTTACTCATTGCCCCTACCCGTTCTGGGTATGTCTGCTGCTCACGGACCAGACAGACCTAGACCGATCTTCGGTGTATACGTATATACGTGACTATTAGGACTATGAGCTTCATCCGCATTTCTATCTCCCGTCGTGGAAAACAAGACATTTATAAACACCCACAGCGAGATTAGATTTGTTAGGATAATGGCGCCTTTCGCGCAGTCTTATTGCTGCGTATTATTGCTGCTACCGGTAGCAGACATTTTCGGGTGCTACTTAGCATCCCGGTAGTTTCCTAGTGGATGGTGGTAGTATTATTATTATTAGTGTGCTACTGAGATTGTTATTAGAATCAGGGAGAGTGCATAAGGGCGGTACGGTTATGTATGTGTAATCCAGAGATACTGGAGGTTAGGGATGCTGCGTTCTCGTATTAAGGGATCCGAGGGTGGGATGATCCTTCCGTCTGGATTGTCACGTGGATCGAAAGTAATACGCTCGGTTTAGCCTGTAACGTTATTTCGGAGGAAGAAAAAAAAAGGAAAATAATAAAATTTAACGCTCCGTCAGAGCGACCTTGCACCCCTTCCGGCCATTCCGCCGTTCCGCACCCGCCGCGATTTCGCTACTAGTACGTACGAGCTGCTTCGAGCCAATAAATATCGAGAGCAGGCGGCTACAAATCTCAAGATAAACACGCATTTGCGCTGTATTTTTATGCCCTCGTCCCCCTGAGTGTTTGTCGCTCGAGCAAGGGTGGAATAAAAAAGGGTTCGCCCTTTTGCATTCCGCGTATGAGTTATTAGCCGGGCAAAGCCAAAGGGTTGGCGATTGCGGTATTTAATTTGGCGGAAGTACGGAGAAATGCGGATTTTCGAAAATTTACTCGAAAAGGTGGTTGCTTATTGAAAAAAAAAAAAATAATAAAAAAAAAAATAAATTTCATCGTACCCCCTTTTTACTTTGGACATATTAATGAAGAATTCTTAACGTCTCTCCGGAGTGCGGTAAGGGTGGTTAGTAGAGATTTCATAAAAGAAAGGGGCAAGGTGGACCCACGAACCTACCCCTTGGAAAATCGTTATTCCAGGTACGAAATTTTCTTAGGGACGTTATAGCCGGTCCTGCCAATTAAGAGAGACGACGACGGTGGGCATCGGAGTAGAACTAAGGGTTGGCGGGTGCCGATGATGTATGTGGTGGAAAATACTAGGGGCAATCTGTCACGCCATCGACGCCTTCAAGGCGCCTGGCAAAAGACTCCCTTCTGTGCCCTTTACTGTTAACCAATCTTATTCTCTTATGTTCCATCATCCCCTATCCGTACTATAGGGATACTCTAACGTTTCTTTAGAAACGTAATAATCAGTTTTATCTAGTATGCACTAAAGCCCAAATTAAGGGATGAAAGTCCATTGTCCATGTATATGGGGGGTGGGGGGGGG